AACTCTAAAAAAGGGGGAAAAAAAATACTTAGGCACTTCCCCTGCCAGCCTGCTGATCCAAGACAAAAGGAAACTGTGTTTCCTCTCTGCCTCTCATACATATTATCCTTTCCCACCTACCTGTCCTCCCCACTTGCCATTTCTACAGTCAGCTCTAAGGGCTGAATCCCAAGGAAACCACCTTTATGGACTTCGCACCCCATTCAGCTTCAACTACCGTGCCACCAGTTCCCTCCAGCTGGGCCAACAGAAGAAGCAGATCTCTCATTCTTGCCCACCTGAAAGCTGTAACGCTCTGAAGGCATGATGAGGCAGCTATACTTTCCTGCCTATAACACCTAAAGGACAAACAAAACCCCCAACAGCAAGCCCAGAACCCTAGAGCTGAAGAGTTATCAGGTCCAAAAATTACCTTCTCCTCAACCCTAAGGCCATTTCCCCCCTCTTGAATGATAAAAGAATCTGATTATCCAATGCAGATTCACATTTCTTATGTCTTAATTCAAAAACCAAGGCATGGAAGAAATCAACAAGTAACCTTGTCATCAGAAGTTAACCACTCTGCAGAATTGCTCATACCACAGCTGCACACTGCTACTTGTAAATTTAACCTTTAAGACACAGGAGGATCTGGACAGACTTGAACACTGGGTGCTATCTAACAAAATGAAATTCAATGATGAAAAAAGGGAGGTTCTACATTTAGGCAAGAAAAACCAAATGCACAGGTATAGTATAGGTGGCACCATGCTCAATAGTAGTAACTGTGAGAGGGACCTTGGAGTCCTAGTGGACAATACTTAAATATAAGCCATCAGTGTGCTGCAGCTGCCAAAAAGGCCAACACAGTGCTAGGCTGCATTAACAGAGGGATAGAATCAAGATCACGTGAAGTGTTAATACCACTTTACAATGCCTTGGTAAGGCCACATTTGGAATACTGCATCCAGTTTTGGTCACCACGATGTAAAAAAGATGTTGAGACTCTAGAAAGAGTACAGAGAAGAGCAGCAAAGATGATTAGGGGACTGGAGACTAAAACATATAAGGAACGGTTGCTGGAATTGGATATGTCTAGTCTAATGAAGAGAGGGATGAGGGGGGACATAATAGCAGTATTCCAATATCTCAGGGGCTGCCACAAAGAAGAGGGAGTCAAGCTAGTCTCCATAGCACCTGAAGGCAGGACAAGAAGCAACGAATGGAAACTAATCAAAGGAGAGAAGCAACCTAGAACTAAGGAGAAACTTCCTGACAGTTAGAACAATTAACCTGCCTCCAGAAGCGGTGAATGCTCCAACACTGGAAGTGTTTAAGAAGAAACTGGACAGCCATTTGTCCAAAATGGTATAGGGTTGGACTAGATGACCTCCAAGGTCCCTTCCAACTTTATTATTATTATTATTAACCTTTAACTTTTTCAGACATACACTGCTACCTACCACAAATACTGTCTGCAATAGACCTTGCCCAACTAATCCTTTCCCAGAGCAGTTCCTATCACGCCTAAATATTTGATTTTGCAGTTTAACTATGCCACTTGAAGAACAGCTGGGAATGTGCCCCCATAGATTTGCAGTAATAATTAAATTTGCATAGGTACAGAATTCTAATTAAGAGGAAAGTGACTTGCAGTTCATGGACTTTTAATGGGTCCTGCAGCGCATCTACTCTTTAAGCAATATACCGCAGCCAAGATAATATCCAGACAACAGGACAAACTGTCAAGTCACAAGTTGCATGCAGCTTTCAGCCTCAATCAGGAAGGAAGTTAGACATGGGGAGGCGGGCAGAGGACAGGGAAGAGGAAAAAGTCTCTTATCTCCTCTGCTCTGCCTTCAAGGAGTTTAACTGTCAATCTGTTAGAAAAACTTGCTCCAGTTTTGTGATGCAAGACAGACACAACCTTATCTTTGCTCATTACAACTCTTACTGCACAAAAACTACTCCTAGGCAAATTATTGCACTGCCTAAACCAATTCTAGGAAGCAGAAATAAAAACTATTTTGCTGGATCAGATCAAAACCTCATGTGGGCAATGATCTAACGCGGTGCTTCTGGGAAGGCAGAAGGCCACAAAGACAAAATACATTTTTTCCCTCCCACTCAAAAGAATTTTGCTACTAAATATAGATACCTTGTCCAGCATTGTCTATTCCTGCTGGCAATGACTCACCAAAGTCTTCCTAAAGGTATATTTTTTAATAGGAGGTATCAGAGATAAAATCTAGGATTTCTAACATGTAAAATACTCGTCTCTGATCCTGTTTGCCAAATAGCAGTGAGTAGATAGGTATACATACATTTGTATTTAGCTGAGATGGTAGGATAGCCTAACATAAACCTCTTCCTTATGAATATCCTCCTACTCTTATCATTTCCAGAATGATACCATCTTTATTTTTTTTGCAGAAAATACAATCTTGCAACAATCATCTTAAAAATCAATGGCTCTTATAAAAACCTTTCTGAATTACAGCCTACTTAATCAGGTTCACCAGATCCCACAGAGCAGGGGTGTGAAACTGCCAGCCCAAGGGCTGATTGCATCATACGAATGCTGCGCCCACCCCAGCTCCGGAAATGCAAAAAAAAAAGTCGCGATACGTCATGACACGTCACGTGACGCGGTGAGTTTGACACCCATGCCACAGAGTATTCTCAGTTCTACAACAGGTTCTCAACAGCCTGCCTAGCCACAGCTTCATGAAAGTACTCACCTGGGAACAGAGATTCTTGCAAAGGATCCCAAAGTGGGTCTGGAGGCATAGTTTCCATGTCCAGATCAAACCCATCACCAAACTGCTGGTATAGAAAGGAAGATATAGAAAATAAAGCTTTTCATGTGTGGGAAACAATAAGCCTGATTCCTTTTAAAGAACAGAGTGTGATGGCAGTGAGTGGATATGTAACTGAGAAGGTATACAGGTAGTCCTCGACTTACAAGTTCATTTAGCGACTGTTCAAAGTTACATCGTCACTGAAAAAAGTGACTTATCACTATTTTTCACACTTAACTACCATTGCAGCACCCCCATGATCATCTGATGAAAATTCAGACAATTGGCAACTGACACATATTTATGACAACTGCAGTGTCCTGGGATCATGTGACCACCTTCTGCAACCTTCTGACCACCAAAGTCAATGGAAAAACCAGATTCACTTAACAACCATGTTACTAACGACAGCAATGATTCACTTAACAAAAGAAGCAAAGTTGTAAAATGGGGCAAAATTCACTTAACAAATGTCTCTCTTAGTAACATAAATTTCGGGCTCAATTGTGGTCATAAGTCGAGGACTTCCTGTAGTTTGGAGTTCCAGTTCAATCAGACTTTCAGGGCTAGAGATAATCTCCTTGGAAATGCAATCTAAAATTATACACATGGCATGCCAGTCATTGTAACTGGGAATATAATCCCCACAATATATTCTAATATGTAGGCCATATTGAGAACAAATAAAAAAACCCAAGTGACAGGGATGGGAGTGAACAAGAGGTTAAAGTATATTGAATTCAATTTTTTATAATGTTATAGAGGTGGGGATAGAAATAGAGACTTCAAATTGCTGAGAAGTGTATCCTACCATGGAGGCATACTGGAAAGCAAATAATATTCTTCTAAAAGCAAAGGTATTCTCACCGCAGAACAGGTACCATTATGGTCCATAATGCTGTGTTCAAGACAAGGGAAAAGTTCAGCTGCCACATCTCCATCATTATCCAAACAGCTGTAAAGACCTGCATCTGTAGGAAGAGCAGCACAGTGCAATTGGGTGAGGAATTAGCTGATTCAACCATGGGTTATCTCTAAATAATAATAATCAAACAATATCTGCTTATCCCAGGTCCTTGTGAAGGACCCAGTAGTGCAGGGGTCTTCAAACTTGGCCCTTTTATGACTTGTGGACTTCAACTCCCAGAATTCCTCAGCCAGTGTGCCTGGGAGTTGAAGTCCACAAGTCATAAAAGGGCCAAGTTTGAAGATCCCTGCAATAGTGGATAAAAATGTCAAATCCGGTTTAAACATCTAACCACAACCAGCGGTGCATTACACGGTTACATTTTTCCTCTCCCAATTTTATTTCCTTGTTCTTAGTTAAGCTGCCACCCAAGCCAGAACAAAACTGGAAATACAACTTATAGAAACCAGTTACAAAGAAGCATATGTTGCCATCTAATATAGTAACGCCACATAAAACGTGCACTTTCCAGGTGAATACCTTATAAGACCATGTGAATCTCTACTTGTTTTGCAGTGTATAAAATTGTTGCTATCATTTATACAATGCACCCTATTGTGTATAATAAAAACACAAAAAGACCACCTCCTCCTTCATCCATATGAGATCTCTTCCGTTTTGATAACCCTAGGCTAGTAAAAAAACAACAACATCTATACTGCAACACCTTAAAGATGAATAGCAATGCGCATTGAAAGAACATCCTGTTTAAAAAAGTTAATTTCTTATGCAATAATCTTTAACAGCCAAGAATCTGACAGACAGAAATGCAACAGGCGAAGCTCCTGCTTGGCGGAAAGTTATACCCCATTGCATACCGGCCTGATATCATCTGTTAAAGTCATAGAGTTTTCAACAGAGTATTTTTATATGTTAGCGGGGCCCCTCCGCAACCCCAGCCTTGAAACCCATGCATAGCCCAGGCCTATCGGCCCTGCCCCGTCCTTCGCCCCAGTATTGCCCCTCCTTCTTCTACTCACCCCAGTCCTCGCTGCTCAGCAGGTTATCTGCTCGGAAGCGGCTTGAATCGCTCAAAAGCAGCAACTCCGAAGCCAGCGCCGCCATCTTCCTTCCGCTTTTCCTATCCTATACCAACACCGACTTCCACCCAGTCGATTATTGCCATAGCAACACCGCGACCCAATAGAAATCCTCTTCTTTCCTCTTCTGCCCAACCATAAGAGAGATGAGGCGGGACCCGACCGGTATGCCCACCAACGGAACGGAATGGTATAGCGGAAGCGCATCGAAAAAGAAACGCGCATGCGTAAGTTCCGTCATGCGGCAAACTAGTGCCTCGAGGAGGAGTTTATAAGGGATTGTCAACGTTGAACGGAAGTGCGCGTGCGTAAACCAGACGGGGTTAGGCGCTTCTAGTGATGCCTTGAATTCTAGCACTACGGACAGATCTTGCTTCGCTGTGCGCCAACGAATTCTGTGAAGGTGGGGAACCAGGTAAGTCCGATCCCGACCACGCGCGATGGAGTATTTAAACGTGACGCGCGCATGCGTACGAAAAGCGTTTTCAAGGCTGAGAAGCGGCGCATGCGTCTGCTGCTTCTTTCGCTGTGATCCTGGGAATTGTAGTTTTTTGTTTTCACATTAAGATTTTTTTTTTTTTACAGTGTTGAGTGGGCTGTCTTAAAACCTATCTTTTTTAAATTCACGCCATTCAGAAAGAATACATTCTATTAGTGGTCAAATCAGTAATTTTAGTATTCTTATCTATAAAATTGAATTAATTAGCATTTTCTCTTAATTTCAATCCATTCAGTACTGTAACCAAATCTCACTGTGATTTACAGTGAATAAGCTGAGAATAAAAATGTAAACATTATAGATCTACCAGTTCCCCCATCCCCACTTTTGTGCTGTTGCAAAATCCAATTTTATGGATAATTAGGGTGTCGCTCTATTAAAGGATGGGTAAAATATTTGTGGAAATTCTCAATCATCCAGGTCATAGTTGTTTCAAAGGTGTTTTTTAAAAGGCAACTAGACTTTTTTCCCCCTGAGGAAGAAGTAGTTTCCTTTATCTACCTCCCCCCCCCACTCCACCTTGGGTTGCACAAAATAATGGAAGGCATAAAATGAATCTATCTGCCACCACATGCACAAGCATTTAAAAATGCACATAAACTTGCAGCTTTTGATTAAGATTCCAGCCAATTCAATTTTGCTGTACCTTAAAATAGTTCATCCAAAGAGATTCTTTCAGATTTCCTCATAAACCTGAAAAAAAATCATAGTGTGGCTGGTTTGTGGATCACTTCAAACAAAGGTCCAAAAGATTTTTGCTCAGTCCTAAAATGATCAGACTTTGTGAAAGTTAAAGCTTGATTTTTTTTAAATACTCTTACAATTCAGTGTCTAGATAATAGCAGAACCTTCATGGGTTCAGCACAGATCAAATTGTGTGTTAAAATTGTTTAAAGCAAATTAGAAATGGTATCTATGTGGAAAATCAACAGCTGCAGAATACAGGAATACATCTGTATCTGTTTGGGTCTTACATATTATTCTTCCATCTTTTTATGAATGAAATTCTTGCTTTTCTTTTCCTGGCTGCAATACTGTACAGTATTTGTCCTGTATTTATGTAACAAGCTTCTTTGGTTGGAGACTATTTTATTGTAGATACATGATTTTCTTAAAAAAATAAATGTTGCATAGTGGGTGAACATGTATTGCCTAACCGGAAAGATATAGTTTCTCAGTTTGTTGCAGCCATATTTTTATATTTACTTCCTTTTGTCAGGTGCTGAGTAGGTGGGATGTTGAATGATCCCTATATATTACTAAGCGCTTGATCCCACAACGAGAAAAAGCATTTTTTGGCTTAAGCATTCAAAAAAGAACACTCTAAAATGAAAAGAATCTGCCTAGTAACTGAATATTTTTGGATAGATAACATAATTCAAACACTAAAGATCTGGAAAATATTTTTAAAAAGAAAAACAGTAAACAGTTATGACAAAAATGCAACAAACCCTTGTTGCACTAAATAATGTATGTTCATGTGTATTTGTATAAATGTAAAAATAACAATATGCTATGAATAACAGATTATTAAATAACACAAGTAACAAAATAAGAAACGTAAGGTTCATGAAGATACAATTCACTATAACAATATAAAGCAGCATTTAAAACAAAACTGAATATGAAAACTTTAACAAACTTTATAATGTCAATCCACCAGTTTTTCCTCAAACCTGCTTGGTAAATCTCAAGTTATATTAAATAACAAATTAGATCCCTTAAACTTGTGATCCTTTTGCAAGACCAAATTTTTTTTATCTCCTGAGGGAGAGAAAACGTACAATTCCATTCCATTACAACAATTTGCCAAGTGAAATCTCTGTATCTACCAATCTCAGATTGCTCATTATTACTGTCAAAAAGAAATTAATGTGAATTCTACATTGCAAGATCAACCCCTCATCAGCAGCCAAAACACCTTTTGTAAACACTCTTTTTTTTTTTAATGCATGAAACACTTCTTTATTTAAGTTTGTTTTCATAGTGGAACAAGGAGAGAAGGACAGAATGGGGTTTTCTCGGGTCTGTTTCCTCCCTGCATCTGCAGGATTTTGTTAAACAAACCGTCATTCTCCGCTTTGCTGTCCTTTTTATTTTATTTCATCAAGATTTGGGTTCTTGAGTCCTATCTTTGGAAGCAGTCTCATGGGGTGGCTGGCTGGCTGAGGGAGGAATGGATGGAGACCCAACTGTTTTTTGGGGAATGCCTACAAGAAAAGACAGCAATGAGATACATCAGGGCCATCCAGCACCTAGCATAGCCTTTTCTTTTTTCTTTTTCATAGCTCTTCTGCAAAATTCCCATTATTCCCAACTCTTTTCACCTAAGCAGACTTTGCCAACTGACCGAGGTTGGCCATTGGAAAGGGAGTTATATCTATCTCACCAGTTTGTCATGTCTTGTTCTTGGAGGCCAACCTGCTCTCTGCCAGATCTCCATGGCGCAGGAACGATGCTATTCTGCTAGCCACATATCGGCAAGCTGAATTGGAAAGGAGAAAAAAAAAATTAAGAATGTCCTCCAAGATCTGGACCACCCGGACACCTTTTTGTAGTTGTTTTGGGGAATCTGATCTCTAGATGATGTTTGGGACAATCCTCCTCTTGTTCCTTCCAGCCTTAGAGATTCGTCTTCCCAGCTTTCTGCTTTTACCTGCCAGATTCCCTTCCTTTCCCCTCCCCCAGCCCCAACGTTGTGGCTTTCTGCCTTTTCCTTTCTGCAATCCTTCACCTACCACCAATTATGCGTCACACCATCCTTTTGAAGAAACGGGGTGCCGGTCAGCTAGGAAAGCTCCACTTTGTGCGGCAGAAATGGCTTTGACAAAAGGGAGGAGGCAGACGCGAAGGGTGGAGAGAAGCATTGTGGGAAATGTAGTTTTATTATCCCTGCAGGTTCAGGTCCAAAGATAGCACACTTTGATTAATGTCGGCAGCACTGCTGCTGTCTTTAATAATATCATGTGTTTGTGAGTGTGCGTGTGTGTGTAGTTATTTTTTTTTAAGGAGATAAAATTAACAACTAATATAAAGTGAAGAAAATAAAGGAAAAGTTCAACGTGCAAAAACCAGTTCTTCAAGTACGTACAACAAATCTTGATCTCATCTATAAGGTTTTAATTTTGCTCCTTCTTGGGATTAATTTTAAGACTGGAAAAAAAATCTGTGTTATTAATTTTCTGGCTTTCTCGTTCTATAGATTTTTCTCTCTAAATGTGTATGGTTTGTGCATGTAATTTATCCCACATTTCTGGATTTCTTTTTTTTCCCTCTCCCTCTAGTCTAGGATCCTCCAAAATGATCAACATTGAGTCACAAGGGTCGATGAGAGGATCCTTTAATATTAGGAATAGTAGTAATTGTATTTGTAGTACTCTTAGTTAAAATGGTATTTATTGAATTATTTTTTGTATAAAGTTTGGGGGATGATAAACAATTTGAAACTTCATGAAGGGTTTATTGAGCTGAAATTATTGTCATGCAAAGTTTGAACAGAGATCTGAGGCTTATCTCAAAATGAAAACGTCCTCCAAACTTGGTTGGGTTGCCATGTCTAGTTCACACAGATTTGAATATGGAATCATCAGTTAACTTTGTTTACATGCTAACCCAAAAGAACAGCGCTTAATCCAAAGGAAATTTTGGAGCATGGTTGAAAGGCAGTAAAATCAACTGTCTTTCATCAGAAATGGAAGGGACCTTGCATGTCATTTGCTCCAAGTACTGTTCAGGGCAAGATCTGCTACAGCATTTTGAACAGGTGTTTTAAAGCTTCCAGTGAAGGTGATTATACTGGTTCAGGAGGCAACCTACTGTATTCCATTGGTTGGTAAGTGTTACTGTCAGGAAATTCTTCCTCATATCCAACCTGAATCTGCTCCCTGTGGTCCCAACCCATGTTCTATTTCTGCCCTCTGTAGCCAAAAAAAGCAATTTTAGTCCCTCCTTTATATGACAACAACTCGTCACACAGTCTTCAATGCATTTACTTTTTTGCAGGTGCACTACACTGTTAGCACATATTCAACTCGTGATGTACTAGAACATCCAGATCTTTTATGAACCATAATTGAGGAAACATAATTCCTGAAAATAATACTGTAATAATAATAATAGCAATAATAAAAAAGTTGGAAGGAACCCCTGCTCAGGCAGGAAACCCTATACCATTTAAGACCAATGGTTGTCCAGTCTCTTCTAAAAAACGTCCAGTGTTGGAGATTCACCGCTTCTGGAGGCAGGTTGTTCCATTGGTTAATTGTTCTAACTGTCAGGAAGTTAGGTTGCTTTTCTCCTTGATTAGTTTCCACCCATTGCTTCTTCTCCTGCCTAACATTGCAACTGATCATAAGTCTCTTGCTAATTATTCTAATGTTGATGTTTGTACTCTTAACATAGAAACCATAGAACATAGGACAAGAACCTATATTTATGTAACAATTTTATTTAGTGGGAAACTGTATTTTATTATATATACATGAGGTTTTTTTTAAATGTGGTCTAATAGGTTAGCACGTATTGCCTAACAGGAAAGATATAAATAGTTTCTCAAATTATTGCCGCCATATTGATCTATTTACTTTCTTTCCTCAAGTGCCGAGTTGGTGGGATATTGAATGACTACTATACATTAATAAGCACTTGACCCCAGAGCAATAAGAAAAAAATCTTTTTTGGGGGGGCTTAAGCATTTAAAAATGAACATTTTAAAAGAAAAGATCTACCCAGTAAGAAGATTTTTGGATGCAAAGCAACATGTCAAACACTAATGTTTTGTAAATTTTTTAAAAAGAAAACAGTAACAAATTATGACAAAAATGCTGATGGAGTTTTGTTGTACTGCTTTTTTGTCCTTTTTCTCTTTGTTCTGGGGCATTAAAGTGATAGATGAACATATATGTATGTGTGTATATGTAAAAAAAGAATAAACTATTAATAAACAGATTAAATAATATAAGTAACATAAATAACTAAAATAACAAATGTAGGCTATCATGTAGATAAAATTCATTGTAATAGCATAAAGCAGCACTTAACAAAAATAAATATGAAATCTTTAAGAATCTTTAGTCTATGTCAATACATTTCTGTTTCTCATCCAACCTGCTTGGTAAATTTAAAGCTTTATTAAATAACAAACTAGATCCCTTAAACTTTGCTTCTTTTCTTGCAAGACAGAACTTCTTTATCTTCTGAGGGAGAGAAACTGAGGTAGAGTACTGTGTTTCCATTCCATCACCACAATTTGCAAACCCTTTCTCTGAAAGTGCCAATCTCAGATCGCTTCACATTGCCGTGGAAAAGAAATCAATGTGAATTCTACATTGGAAGATCAACCCCCTCATCAGCCACCAAATCACCTTTTGTAAACACTCACTCTGGTTGTTTTTTTTTTTTTAAAGCACGAAACACTTCTTTATTTAAGTTTATTTTCATAATGGAACAATGAGAGAAGGGACAGAATAAGGGATTCTCAGGTCTGTTAATTTCCTACAGCCGAAGGATTTTGTTAAACAAACCGTCATTTTCCGTTTTGCAGTCCTGTTTATTTTATTTCATCAGGAGTTTGGTTCCTGGGGTCTGACTTCAGAAGTAGCCACATGAGGATATTTTTTACTGGCTGAGCAAGGAGTGGATTGAGACCCTGCTGGCTTTTTGGGGATACCTGGCAAGAAAAAAATAGCAGTGAGATACATCAGGGTCATCTAGTTCCTAGCATAGTTTTTAACTCTTCCCCCCCCCCCCCCGCCCAGGAAACTTTGCCAACTGACTGGGGCTGGCCATTGGGAGAGAGGAGAGAGGGTAATCTCTATCTCACCAGCTACAGCTGTCCGGTTCTTGCAAGCCAACATGGTCTCTCCCACATCCTCAGGGCGCAGGAACGATGCTATTTTCCTAGCCACATAACGGCAGGCTGAATTGGAAAGGGGAAAAAAAAAATCAGGAATGTCTTTCAAGATCTGGACTATCTGGGCCCAGATTATTACCTTATGTAAGTTGGTTTGGGGAGTTTGATTTCCAAACGCTGTTTAAGTTAAACCCATTCCTTCCGAGATTTGTCTCCCCAGCTTTCTGTTTTCACCTACCAGGTTTCCCTGCTCCTCCCCCCTCCCCCCCCCCCCAGAAAGCAACTGCTGGCTCAGTTGCTTTCTTTTCCTTTTGAATTCTTCACCTACCGCCAATTACGAGTCACACCATCTTCTGGAAGAAATGCAGCCGCAATTAGCCTGGAAAACTCCACTTTGTACGGCAGAAATGGCTTTATCAAAAGGAAGGAAGGAGGAAGCAGATGGGCAGGATGGAGAGAAGCATTGTGGGAGACGTAGTTTTATTAACCATGCCGCTTCAGATCCACAGATGGCACACTTTGATTATTGTAGGCAGCAGCCACCAGGTCTGGTGCTGTTGTCTTTAATAACGTTGTATTAACTATTTATATTTTTTTTTTAAAAAAATTAAAAGTAGTTTAAAAACTAACGAGCCAGCTGGGGAATTCTGAGAGTTGCAGTCCACCCATCTGAAAACTGCCAAGGTGGAGGAACACGGAGCCACTATATTCCATTGGTTGACAGGTCTTACATCAGGAAATTCTTTCTCATATCCAACCTGAATTTGCTTCCCTGCAGTCCCAACCCATGTTCTATTCCTGCCCTCTGTGGCCAGAGAAAACAAATTTAATCCCTCCTTTATATGACATCAACTCTTCAAATATCTGAAGACAGCTTTGTCACAGTCTTCCATCAAAGCTTATTTATTTCTGCGAACTGCACTTCTATTCCTCTTAATACACCCCCAAATAGCATTTAACTTTTTGCAACTGCATTCCATTGTTGGTTTAATGTTCAGCTTGTGATCTGCTAGAACATCCAGATCTTTTACGAACCACAATTGAGGAAACATAATGCTTGTCTTAACACAAGGTTGCATCTGATCAATAGCCTCTTGCTAATTATTCTAACTTTGGTTGATATTTATACTCTAACATGGAAACCATAGCATTAGGACAAAAAGCTCCTAGACTTCAGGAACATTGTGACTTACAATAAGAAAGGAAATAAGATAGAAATCCGCATACTTTCCTCATTGTATTATTGATTTCAGAGTAACAGAGTTGGAAGGGACTTTAGAGGTTTTCTAGTCCAACCCCCTGCATGAGCAGGAGACCCTATACCAGGCGTGTCAAACTCAATTTCACTGAGGGCCGCATCAGCATTGCGGTTGCCCTTGGAGGACCGGGTGGGTGTGGCTAGAGAGGGTGCAGTCTACTGGGTGGGCATGGATGGAGTAGGTGTGGCCTACTGGGTGGGCGTGGCCAGTTCTACATCATTCGTGTCAAGGGTGCCTGTGGGGGCCTGGGCAGGAGTGGGACAGATCTGAAGGTCTCTGGCAGAAGGGGGTGGGACCGGGGCAAGTGCCAAGGCATGGTCCACCGGGGCAACTGCCAAGGTGGCCACCACAAAATTGTACATTGGCTCCCGGCTGGTCTGGGCCAGGGCCAGGGCCATGGCAATAGGGGCCGTTCCCTCACTGTTTCCAGGATGGCTTTGCGGGCCACATGAAACCACTTCACGGGCCGCATCTGGCCCCTGGGCCTTGTGTTTGACATGTCTGCCCTATACCATTCAAGACAAATGGCTGCCAGTCTCTTCTTAAAACCTCCAGTGATGGAGCGCTCACAATCTCTGAAAGCAAAGCTGTTCCACTGGTTAATTGTTCTCATTGTTAGGAAGTTTCTCCTTAATTCCAGGTTGTTTCTCTCCATGATTAGTTTCCATCATTAAACACATAATCATTAAACAGATTTATTAAACATGAATCGTTAAACAGAGGCATTGTCTCTCTTTAACATCCACAGTGAATCTATTATGACAAGATTAAGGAAGGATTGGAAGAGATGACCCATCAAATTTGAACTCATCAAGTTTGCAGACGACACCAAGCTGGCAGGAATGGCCAACACTCCAGAAGACAGGCTTAAGATACAGGAGGATCTGGACAGACTTGAACACTGGGCACTATCTAACAAAATGAAATTCAGTGGTGAAAAAAGTAAGGTTCTACATTTAGGCAAGAAAAACCAAATGTACAGGTATATTATAGGGGGGGGTACCTTTCTCAATAGTAGTAACTGTGAGAGGGATCTCGGAATCCTAGTGGACAATCACTTAAATATAAGCCAGCAGTTGCCAAAAGGGCCAACACAGTGCTAGGCTGCATTAACAGAGGAATAGAATCAAGATCACATGGAGTGTCAATACCACTTTACAATGCCTTGGTAATACTGCATCCAGTTTTGGTCACCACAGTGTAAAAAAGATGTTGAGACTCTAGAAAGAGTACAGAGAAGAGCAACAAAGATGATTAGGGGACTGGAGGGTAAAGCATATAAGGAACGGTTGCTGGAATTGGGTATGTCTAGTTTAATGAAGAGAAGGATGAGGGGGGACATGATAGCAGTGTTCCAATATCTCAGGGGCTGCCACAAAGAAAAGGGAGTCAGGCTATTCTCCAAAGCACCTGAAGGCAGGACAAGAAGCAACGGATGTAAAACAATCAAGGAGAGAAGCAACCTAGAACTAAGGAGAAACCTCCTGACAGTTAGAACAATTAACCAGTGGAACAACCTGCCTCCAGAAGCGGTGAATGCTCCAACACTGGAAGTTTTTAAGAAGAGACTGGACAGCCATTTGTCCGAAATGGCATAGGGTTTCCTGCCTGAGCAGGGGATTGGACTAGATGACCTCCAAGGTCCCTTCCAACTTTTTATTATTATTACTATTATTATTACTATTATTATTATTATTATTATCATCATCATCATCATCATCACTGAAATCATATTGAGGTTGACATGCTCCCATCTGAAAAGAGCAAACATAATCTCTTTGTTGGGTGAAAGTAGAGAAGGCTTAGCCTTAGGCTTACAAGACTTTCTCTTATAAAAAGGGAAAGAGAAAATAATAGAGGCAATTTTGTCCATTGTACTTGGTGAACTTCAGGTTGATGATGGTGAAAAAGGAAGGCCATTTTGATTTCTGGGGCTCAAATATAGATAAATCTGAACATATGCTGGAGGAATACAAACATTAAACCTAGAGAGGAAGGAAATGGCAAATTTAGGCAATAAGTACAGGTAGTCCTTGACTTGCAGGCACAACTGGGACCAGAATTTCCATTGTTAAGTGAGACAGTTGTTAAGTGAAGCACACTCTATATTACACCCTTTTTCTTACCCACAGTTGTTGCTATGGAAAATCACTGCGGTTAAGTCCATCACACAGTCATTAAACAAGTCCAGCCACTCCCTTTGATTTTGCTTCTTAGGAGCTGGCTAGGAAGATCACAAATGGTGATGCTACAGTTGTTGTAAATATATGCTGGTTGTCCAGTGCTTGAATTTTGATCATGTGACTGTGGGGATGTGACAGCCGTAAGTGTGAGGAATGGTCATAAATAATAAAAGGACTACTGGTATATTCCAGCCTTTATGGCAATTGTACATAAGAAGACCATTGACAACTATAACCCTGTGCTGTCAAATTTTTCTTGATATTATTTTGCACTCGCCTTGACAAAATTCTAGTACATAAGTATTCTAAGCATCTAAAAAAAAATACACAATAAGACTTTAGAGAGGACAAAAGCAACATTCAGTCTGAGACATTCTAATAGCTGTCAGCTGAGCTTTGGGAAGTGCTTGTTCTGAAAGAGGGCATGAAATTATTTAATTTCATTTTCAGCAGATAGGATACATCTAACAAACAAAAATAAAATATGTAATAGAGAATATATTGTAACTAGGAAGCAGCTGTCCCATCCCTATGAAAAATGAACATCAATTAATTGATTTAACCAGTTTGGGTTATGCAATATATTTACTTGAATATATTTATAAACATATGGGTATGCACATCTGCTGTATGTTCATACATGTTCATAAAGATAGGGAGGGAGGGAGGGAGGGAGGGAGGGAGAGAGGCTATTACTGGATGAAATAAAGATTGACAATTGTCTTAAGACCATAATCAGGAAGTTGAAATTCATATACTTTTTAAGCGTGGTATGAGTAGATGAAGGACTAGAAATATTGCTGTACTTGTCAAGGCTGAGTAAAAAAAAAAAAAGGATAATCAATAAAATGGATAGAGGAAAAGAGATGGCTGGAATGTCCTTGAAAGAGTTACAAATTATTACTGAAGATGGGTTGGAATTGTAAAGAAGTTCCTAGTTCAGACCTTAGATCAGTCCGAACCCCTAACAATAATAATAATAATAAAGTTGGAAGGGACCTTGGAGGTCATCTAGTCCAACCCCCTGCTCAGGCAGGAAACCCTATACCATTTTGGACAAATGGCTGCCCAGTCTCTTCTTAAAAACTTCCAGTGTTGGAGCATTCACGGCTTCTGGAGGCAGGTTGTTCCACTGGTTAATTGTTCTGACTGTCAGGAAGTTTCTCCTTAGTTCTAGGTTGCTTCTCTCCTTGATTAGTTTCCACCTGTTGCTTCTTGTCCTGTCTTCAGGTGCTTTGGAGAATAGCTTGACTCCCTCTTCTTTGTGGCAGCCCCTGAGATACTGGAACATGGCTATCATGTCCCCCCTCATCCTTCTCTTCATTAAACTAGACATTCTTACTTATCCACCAACTACTTAAGCTCTGTTATCTTCATCAGACCTTTCTCCTGGATAACAATGTCCCAGAATTTAAACAAATCACAAAATGATGGGAATCTCGGGGACTTTTTGAACTCATCTATCAGATCTTGCCTTCTTAAAAATAATTGCTAAACCTCAGTTGCTGGATGCCTTGACCAGAAGCTCCCTGTTGAGCCTTCAAGATCAAGAGAAGACCATAAATGATGGAGGATCCTCATACTCTTCTTATGAAGAGTATTATAGTCTCCTTATGACTATAACTTTATTGCTTGTATCTTACAATTTATATTGCTTTCAGTATCCTAGTATGATTTATGTTGTTTGCTGAGCTAGTATTCAATGACTATCACGAAGTGTTGCACCTTACGATGCGTGAAGTGTTGTATTTTATGATTTATGATTAATGTTTTGCTTTACGTTGTTTATGATCATGATTTATCACTCTGTACTTGTATGTACACCAAGAGCTTATGCACTGGAGACAGATTCCTTGTGTATCCAACCACACTTGGCCAATAAAGAATTCTATTCTATTCAAAATGAAGGAGGAGAGGGAGGATCAGAAAGCGTTTCCCTACTTTTTTCCAGGTTTTTCTTCCTGCCTGCCTCTAACCTGACTTCTTCTGAGGGATAGTCTAAACATACAATAGTTGCTAGGACAGGTGGTTGCTGAGGAAATGACGTTCCAGGGAGAAAGAAAGGGGGAAGGTGGATTGAAATTAGAGGACGTAATAGAGCCAGAAGCTAAATTGCACCATCTCTCCCCACAGCGGGTCTTCTCCATCCTGCGCCGAGAATGAAGCCTAAGAGAAAGGAGATGTGAGGTAAATCTTAATGGTGGATGGAAGATGGGTTTTAGGGTTTATCGGACTTTCACACACTCACTACTATGGGTGTAGGAGTGATCTGTTGGAAAAGCACATGCAAGGCAAGTGGACAGAGGATGAATGGGGACTGCCTGTTACTGGGTGTGTAAGATGTACATGTTAGTGTGTGTAATGTAGAAAAGACAGAGAAAATAAGCTAAAAATGCGCTCCCAGATACCAGTATTATGAAGCCACTGGTGAATGTGAGTATTATTGAAAGAGAATGATTTTTGTTTGTTTGTTTGTTTGCCTGCAGCAAATGTTAACAAACCCCACAGGGACAAATGCTTTAATAAAATGGAGAGGACAAGTAGAGAGCTCCATACAGTAACAACTGGATTAATTTATCCTTTTTAGGGTTTTTTATTTCTTCCTATAATCCATTCCGAGGCTTCATCGTCTTTGTTTTTCTTCATGACAATTGGTATGATTTAAAGCTGATGTTATTCCTGTTTTACAGGCATGGACTGAATGAGAAGCATTGTTTTATAGTTTTGAGATCACACAGTGAAACTTTACCTTAAGGCAGTGGTTCTCAACCTGTGGGTTGGGACCCCATTTGGGGTCGAACGACCATTTCATGGGGGTCGCCAAACAACGCAGTCCGCCATTTTTTCCCCCTTTTCCTTAACTGTGCTACTCCCTTTTATTCTATTGGCTTTTGAAAGCCAATAGAATAGACTCTCTTGCATAGAGTCTAATTCTATTGGCTTTCAAAAGCCAATAGGAATTGTCCAGGCTGTCTCTGCCCTGCTGAGCCCGCCAAAAGTCCCATTCTGCAAACGGTGCTGCACCAGTTGAGTAGTCCTCGATTTACGACGGGTTGAGTAGTCCTCGACTTACAACCGGTTGGTGGTCACGGCATTAAAAAGTTTGAGAACCACTGCCTTAAGGTGAGGTTTGGGGAAAAAAAGAAAAAGCAACTGGATTTGCATCCACCCCTCTAGCCACCAAATTATTTTGGTTTGATTCTCTCAGTTTATTTATACCGCTCCAATTTATAATGTGATTTGTTTGGTTCTGGTGTAATGCTGTGTAAATGCAACTTTGGCAATTCGTGAACCATGTTTTGTGGCTTACTATGTTTCACAAATCCAGTTGGCTTTTTTCAACAAACCATGGTTTAGTATGATACAAAGGGCTGAGTCAGAGAAGGATCTGGGTTGTTTGTAGGGTTGCAGGGAATAAAACTTCTATATGTCAACATCTGTATGTCAAATCCTGACATTGAGAACAATCAAATGGAATAACTTGCCTTTAGAAGCTATGGATCTCCATCACTGGAAGTTTTTAAGAAGAGATTAGACAACCATTTGTCCAGAATGGTATAGGATCTCCTGCTTGAGCAGGGGGTTGGACTAGAAGACCTCCAAGGTCCCTTCCAGCTCTATTATTCTGTATTCTATTCTGTATTCTTTAGAGAGAACTAACCTAGTACCAAGGAGAAATTTCCAGACAGAACAATTAACCAGTGGAACGACTTGCCTCCAGAGGTTGTAGGTGCTCCAACACTGGAGGTTTTTCCAAATAGATTGGACAACCATTGGTCTGGAATGATATAGGGTTTCCTACTTGAGCAGGGGGTTGGACTAGAAGACCTCCAAGGTCCCTTCCAGCTCTGTTATTGTGTTATTCTTTCCATGGTCTTCTTAATAATTCAACATTAGAATAAATCTCATTCTCTCTCTTGATGGGACCCAGGGCTTTCTCGTCACTCGACGTGGAACCTCCGGTTGAAGGAGAAAGGAATGGCAAGCTCAGAGAAAGCTTGTCTGAAGAGCCAGACTGCTGGAGAACAGGAAGCGGGCAAGAAGCCAGACCAGAGAATCCCCATCTGTGACGAAAGTATCCGAGGTGCATCCGTTGGGAATGAAAAAAAGGACCTTGGGTACCAGGTAAAAGAGAACCAACCGCTTCCTATCCAGTCCCAGCCAGGGATGTGCTGGGCTTGCCCAGATGGCACCTTTGTCAAGCTGATCCTAAAGGCTGGGACAGGTTTAGATAAACCAAAGGAAGGGTCCCTCTGCCAAGTCTTCATTGAGGCCAATCATGAAGGTCCCTTGAGCTACCCATCTTGCAGGTGGGCCGAAGTAGAGCTGGGTGGGGGTGACGCCGAATGGGACGGTGTGGTGGACCGTGGTTTGGAAACCATGCTGGCAGGGGAGCAGGCTGAACTGAGGTTGACAGCCGGCAGCACCATCACTGTCCAGTTGGCAAGCTTCACGGAAGCCAAAGACTCTTGGGAGATGAGCGCAAGTGAGAAGTGGGACTTGGTCCTCAGCAATAAAGAGCGCGGCAGTGAGCTGTACAGGGCGGGAGCCATTGAGGCAGCTGCCAGGCGCTACGCTAGGGCCTTGCGCCTGCTCGTGGTGGCTGCTCCTCCCCCGGATTATGACCAGATCAAGGCGGAGCTTCACACCAACTTGGCTGCCTGTCAGCTACGGTTGCACCAGCCGGCCAATGCCGCTCAAAACTGTTCCAAGACTCTTGTGCTCCAACCGGCCAACCCCAAGGCCTTGTTTCGTCGGGGCTTGGCCTACGATGCGATGAATGACCTGGAGGGGGCAGCGCAAGACCTAAAGGGCGTTTTGCGAGTTGAGCCAGGAAACCGAGCAGCTCGCCGGGAATTAGAAAGGGTTACTGAGCGGATCCGGGTGCGGGATGCTAGATTGGCTCAGGCCATGCAGAAAATGTTTGCTTGAATAAAATTATTTTACCACGTCAGTGTTGGGGGATTGCATTTTTCTTGTGATTCAGGTGAGCAACCGAAAAGAGGAACTGGTACTTGACATTATGAAGTTGATGGCTGGGCAGGATTAGCCTTTGGTGTCTTTGCACCAAACCGAACACCAGTTGCCTTTAACACACTTTCTTACTTATGGAAAAATCGACTGAATACAGATAGTATTCGACTTACGACCTACAAACTGACCCCAAAATGTATGTTGCTAAGTGAAACATTTGTTAAGTGAGTCTTGGCCCACTGTACGACTTTTCTTGCCACTGTTGTTAAATGAATCACCACAGTTATTAAGTTAGTAACACAGTAGTTAAGTGAATCTGGCTTCCCCATTCATTTTGCTAGTCAGAAGGTTGCAAAAGCGGGACTCTGCAACCGTCATAGATATGAACCAGTTGTCAAGCATTTTAATTTTGATCATGTGACCGTGGGGATGTGGCAACAGTCGTTAAGTGTGAAAAAACGGTCCTAAGTCCCTTTTTTCAGTGCTGTTGTAACTTTGAACGGTCTCTAAGTGAGCTGTTGTAAGTCAAGGACTACTTGTACATCACAGGATATCACACACAGGCTTGCTATGTAAATATGAAATTGGCTTTTGGCGTTCCAGTTCCTATAACTTTAAAAACAACACCTTTTTAACCCTAATGAGAAATATGTGAGTTGCACTTAATGGACTTTCAGCAATTCAAGTGATTTTTATAAGACGGTCACTTTTGAATCATGGCTTTTGTGTAGAACCATTAATCGTTTGCTTTGTGTGTATATGGTAGGAAATCAGGAGGGCGGAATGACAGGTGAGAAGGACCAGAGCAATTGGATCCTGTTTGTACCAGCATCCCGTGGCCAGGCACCCTGAGAAATATAAGATTACTCCCAAACATCTCAAGAGTTCTCAAAACATCTTGGCGAGCTCCGGTTGGCTGGAAGCGGATTGGTCACAGGGGGAGGGATGGGCTGTGGACAAACGTATAACTTTTTTTGTATCTAGAGAGCGCAGGGAGATTTCAGAGCTGGCTTTACTTTCCTGCAACCAGCATCCTTAGTAAAAGAACCCTTTGCTTTAACCGAATGGAGCTAGTGATGGCGAACCTTTTAGAGACCAAGTGCCCCAAAACTGGCCCCGCCCCCACTCCACCCCCTGCCCTGCCCCCGCTCTGCTCCACCCCGCCTGCCCGCAGGGTCACTCACTGCCTCCAGCGCCCACTGCAGATCACCTAGGCAGCCCAGCAGTGCCATGGCGGCCATGTCCTTTCCCCGCACCCTGCAGCATCAACTGTGCGTGATGGGGCATGAGAGCAGAGTCTTGTCTACGCTGCCTGGCTGCCATATCCTTCGCTCCGCTACTCTGCATGGGCCACGCTTGGGGGTAACTCTCCACTGGGGGGGGCTGCTGGTGAGGAGGGGGTCGCGGGGAGAGGCAAGGCTGGGGCAACAGCATGTATGCCCACAGAGAGGGCTCCGAGTGCTGCTTCTGGCACCTGTGCCATAGGTTCACCACCACTGGGCTAATCTTTCCTAAGGGATTGGACCATTAATAAGACCAATGGAATTTAAGTCAGGGAAGACAGATGACATTTCCCTTATTCCTTCCCTACACAACTCATGCTCAAAGCTTCACGCACAATACATTGTGACTCTAGGTTCAAGCTGCACAAGTACAAATGGGGAATTTTGGGGGAGACTTTGTATAGAAGCCACAGTCCTCAAAGTAGGAGCCTTTATAATAATACGGGGTTTTTTTCCCCCAGACAAATTTCTAACCGTTTCAGTTGTGAAGATTAACAAGAAAAAACTTTGCTTTGATAAAATTACAGGAAGAGCAGAAAAAAAAAAAGATCAGGCTTAAAAGTTTGATGGGGATTTGGGAACCTATCAGTTGGGCAAATTAGACTAAATTACTCCATTTTTAGCAAAGAAACAGCATTTTCAGAGCTGCTTTAAATCACCTTTTGTGGCCCATTAGAGCAGGGCTTTTTAACCTTTTCACCCACTATCACTTTTAGGATATTGCAATATCCGAGTACCACCAGTCGCCTAGCAAGATGTCAAAAACTTGATGACCAAAAAAAGGAAAAAAGTGATAAAGTACAGGTAGTTCTCGACTTACAACCGTTTGCTTAGTGACTGTTCGAAGTTACAATGGCACTGAAAAAAGTGCCCCCAAAGCCACAGCTGAGCAAGACACCTGCCTACTCACCCAGCCGCGCTCTTCCTCCTGTCTGAGGTTTTCATTGTTGTGAGCATTTCTGTTGAGGATTGGCAGCAAGGGTGGGGTAGGGGGGTATTTAGTTTTTATCCTCCCCGTCTGCTGGGTGGTTGCAGCAGGTTTTGGTCACTTCACATGACCCTGGGACACTGTGACCGTCATAAATATGAATCAGTTGCCAAGCATCTGAATGTAAATCACAAGAGCCTGGAGAGGCTGCAACATTCCAGCTGATCGGCGCTTCTTCTGGGCTCAGCAGAAGTGCCAGGATCAGTGCTGTTTTCCAGCTGATTGGTGCTTCTTCAGGGCTCAACAGAAGCACCAGGATCAGCGCAGAGCTCTAGCTGGAGCCTGGTGCTGATCCTGGTGCTTCCACTGAGCACTGACAGCCCCAAAGAAGTGCCGATCAGCTGGAAAGCAGCACTGATCCTGGCGCTTCCGCTGAGCCCTGACAGCCCTGCAGCTCCAGCCATCTCTCGCTCAGGCTTGTGCGGTGCTGCCACCGGTTCAGCTCATTCCCCTCCCCCGCTACCACTTTTTCTAGGATCATCACGTATCACCTGCCAGGTGCCAATGTACCACAGGTGGGACCCGTACCACTGGTTGAGAAGCCCTGCATTAGAGCACAGTCCTCGTATCATTTGGGGAAGGAGGAAGAAATGGTACAGGTAGTCCTTGACTTACAACACAGCTCATTTGGTGACTGAAGTTGCAGCAGCACTGAAAAAGGTGGCTTATGACTTTTTTACACTTAACCTGTTGCAACATCCCCATGGTCACATGATCAAAATTCAGATGCTTCACAACTGACTCATATTTATGACAGTTGCAGTGTCCTGGGGTCATGTGATCCCCTTTGGTGAACTTCTGACAAGCAAAGTCAATGGGGAGGCCAGGTTCACTTAACAACCACGTGACTAGCTTAACAACTGCAGTTATTTACTTAACCACTCTGGAAAGAAAGGTCACAAAATGGGGCAAAACTACTTAACAACTGTCTCACTTAGCAGCAGAAATTTTGTCAGAAGTCAAGGACTACCTGTATTTTGAAAACTTGCACGTTGGAAAGCAAAAGTAGCAAACTATATGCAAATTTATAACACAGGCAGAATTTTGGGTGGGGCACTTGTTTACATAGCAGTGAAGAAATCTGATTACAGAATTCATATTTAAAAAACAAACAAACAAACAAACAAACAAACTTGAAGATGTGATGCTCAGCTGGAGAGTCTGCTGTAATGGAGGAAAGTCAAAATCTCCCACCTTCCTTACTATTATCATAGTTTTTCCCAGTTTCCTCCTTGCTCTTCTGGGGCTGTTACATGCCCAGCGAATTGCTTTAAATCCATACATATCCCTTTTTGCTGTTTCTAAGCAACCATCTCCTAAGAGACCGCAGAACTTGGGGATGGTAAGCCAGTGGGGGGGGTGAGAAAAAAATTCACTGGAGTGAAAGAAAGGATATCGAACCTTCTCATTATAAATACAATTACATCAGATGCTGGGAATCAAATGTCTTTATTAACAGAGATTCTGTAACCATGTCACTTGCAAACAGAGATAGAGTATAGAGTCTAACATCCAAGGGGGGGGGAAGGGGAAATGAATGGGAAGTTCATATGACAATATGAGATTTGGCACAGAGACGACGGGAGGCCTTAAAAATGCAAAATAATGCAATTTTTTTTCTATACTGAAGCCTCCCCATGCCTGATCCCTGAAACGCACAATGTTGAGTGTCCATTAAATCATCCGACCAATTTTGGTCGATGCAACTTAGCAATGGTCTACTTATTAATCAGAATGAGGCACGTGTCAAAGTCTCAGTCGTCTCATGTCCATTTGTAAATTAAAGGAGCTGTTTCTGTAAATTGTTCTGTTTATATCAAACTACTTGCATGTAATAAACCAGCACCTCAAAAAGGACAGTATTGGTATTTCTTCTATGCTAATTTACTACCTGCAGGATCATTCATAGAAAAGAGTATTCAAAAATATCCCACATTCACTTCCAGATTGAAATAAGGTAAGATTCTGTCACCACATCTAGTGGGCATCATATAGAATATCTCCAGAATCAATTTGCACATCCCAAAAGGAGTGGATTAGAGACCATTGTCTGATTACGGACCATAGGTGTGGGTTGCAATTTTGAGTATTTTTCCCAAATCCTCCCTGAAAAACTAGTTAGTAGCAATAGCCGGAATAGTTCGGTCCTTCTCTTAGCTTACTACAGGTAATCCTGAAGTTATGACCGTAATGGACCCTACCCACCATGGCCATAAAGCAGGTCAGTCACACGACTAACCCAACTTTATGAACTTTTTTGTAAGCCGTAATTTGAGGACTATCTGAATTAAGCTGTTCTGTTGATTACGTTTTTTTAAAGTAAGCCTGAGGTAGGTTAGGGTGACAGATGATCAGACAACTAAATGTGGTAGCCAAATAAGGGTGTAAAAACTTTGTCTAACTCCAGTTATCTAACGTGCTACCTTGGCGCTACTTGCTGGTTAATATTTAAAGTTGGGGGATATATATGTATGTATGTATGTATGTATATGTATGTATGTATGTATATGTATGTATGTATGTATATGTATGTATGTATGTGTGTGTGTGTGTGTGTGTGTATGTGTATATATATATAGTATATATATATATATATATATATATATATATATATATATATATATAGGGAGGGGGGTTGCTAACAAAGAATTAAGAGAGACTGGAATAGCTATTTCAAGCTAATTAGTTCTCATCAGCCAGACATACCCTTCTGAGATTCGAACCTGGGCTGCTTGCACGTTAGGCAGTTGTTTGACCTCTAGGCCACAGGCTCTTTCTCAGTTTGTCAGCTGTGTGAGGGAGGGAAGAGACAGGGGAGGAGAATTACCTTGAAGGTTTTTTGATGCACCCTGTCGGCCCAAATATTTTTGATGCACCCTGTTGGCCCAAATATTCCTTTCTCCCGTATTTGGGCTGACAGGGTGCCACTTTCTGTAATGGTGCAGCCCATCCTATTGTCTCATCATCACATTCAGGACCAGACATCACTGTGTAATTTAGCATAGGATGCTATAAAAGCATCTTTTCTGAAATCCTCTGGATTTTCCTCTAGGTTGGACATTATCTGCTTCCTGGAAATGGCCACATTGGACCGCCCCGCCCCCCTCCACTGATGGACAGTTGGATTTTTTTGCTGCATCTTTCCTCTTCCAGTTACTTATCATCTCCTCACCCCCTCTGTCTTCTAGATCAGTTAGATCTTGCAATTTTTCTGATGCCATTGTGCTGGCTGCTCTCCAAAGTATTGATACGATCAAAGAATTGTCTAGCAGTTCTTATTACCCCCCCCACACACACACACACTTTCCCTATCTTTTTTTCTTCCTTGGCTTGAAGCTTAATGTAATGTATGCCTTTGCCTAAGCCAGCCTGGACATCAGCTAGTAGGAAAAGAGTTGGCTTGTTGAATACATGTCTAAAAGGCAACCAGACTCTCTAAGCCCATCTGTTAAGAATATTGTGAAGATATCGTAAGTATGTGGATTGCAGAATTTGGAGCCAGATGGGAAGAAATCAAACTAAGTACAAAGTTTTTTTTTTTTAAAAAAACCAAACGTTTCACAGTCCTCTCCAAGGAAGAAATGAAGAACGACAGTGTGAAATGAAAGGTATAAAAAGAACGATGCTTTAAGCTCTACGAAACGGAACTTTTAAAAAAAAAGCCTGTATTAAAAAAAAAGCACTTGCATGCTTACCAAATGCAACATCTCTAAACAGCGTATGAAAATATATGCCTTCCTAATTACAGATGGTGATTTGTTTCACTTAGCATGGAAGCAGCGGTTCCTTTGCACCGCAAATAAAACAGGGAAGTAGCCAATCAGGCTCTCCAAATGTTGGGTGCTTCTCCATCTATTGCAGTGGTTCTCAACCTTTCTAATGCCGCGACCCCATAATACAGTTCCCCATGTTGTGGTGACCCCCAACCACTTATACATCACCGGGTGCCAGGGGCGTGGCCAAAGAAAAGGGGAAAATGGCGGACAGCCTTGTTTGGCGACCCCCGTGAAATGGTCGTTCGACCCCAAATGGGGTCCCGACCCACAGGTTGAGAACCACTGATCTATTGCAAAGGTGGAGAAAGGGAAGCAGCTGATGAAAAAGAACAATGGGGGCAGAGAGACAGGGCTTTACTGAGACTGCACTGGCGCCCCGGGTCCATACAAGGGCAGCACTAGGCATGCAAACACAGCGGGAGGAAGATGGTTATTTCTTGGTTACAGAAGGCGGAGCCTACTCCTCAGGAAGGAAGGAAGCAAGCAACGTATTCTGGGAAAGGAACGAACAGAGAACAAGCATTTCGCTAGGAGCCTTAGCTTATGGAGCACGTCTGAATGGCGTCACTTGGAAGTCATTCTGCTGAGTCGGTGCAGCTAGCAAGGCCAACAACAGCCAAGGATGAAAGTGGGCGGAGAGTAGGGTGGAGAAGGGTTGCCAAGCATTCTGAGTGTCGTTGGCAAGGGTGAAGACAGAGGAGAAGGAGGGGTGGCTGTTGCCAAGGACCATCCCCGGGGGTGGCTGTTGCCAGGGCGGTTGTGACCAGTTGTCAGGGTGCAGGAGTAGGCCGAAGAGAGGCGATTGGTCACTAGCGGTCCCAGTCGTTGTCGTGGTGCTGAGCGGCAATGATGATCACCACCGTAAGGATGGTGCACAGGACCATGGCGGCGATGCCCACCGCCAGGCTAATGAAGGAGAAGTTGCGGGCCTCCCGGGAGGCAATTTCTGCCGATACAATGTCGCCACGGGCAACAGCAGTCCGCACCTGATGGAGAGAACAAAGCGTGGGAACAGGAGGAGAACACAGGCGCTGCAGCTGTAAAACACGTCCGGCACATGACACAATATATGCCTCCCCATTCACTGTATCTTAACACTCTCTTCAATAAACAGTAAAAGCTGGAGTATAAGAGATGAACAATCATTTATAGACTACAGGGAAAGGAATATATTCTTCTGTGCCTTCCTCTTAAGTGTGAGACCCTCTCCCTACTTATAAAAATTAATTTTTATTTTATTATTTATTTTTATAAATAACTCAAGGCAGCAAACATATCTAATACTCCTTCCTCCTCCTGTTGTACCTACAACAACAAATCTGTGAGGTGGGTCGGGCTGAGAGAGGATAACTGGCCCAAAGTCACCCAGCTGGCTTTCATGCCTAAAATAGGACTAGAATTCACAATCCCCCAGATTCTAGCCTGGTGCCTTAACCGCTACAGCAAACTGGTCTATTAATTTCAATTAATCATATGAATGAATCTTCTACTCTGGAAATTCTTGCTGCCATGTTAGTTTTCCTTATGGAAGCGCGTGAGGGAAGAGGACAGTCAGTTTCTTGATTATTATTATTATTATTAATAATAATAATAATAATAATAATAATAATAGTAAAGTTGGAAGGGACCTTGGAGGTCATCTAGTCCAACCCCCTGCTCGGGCAGGAAACCCTACACCATTTCGGACAAATGGCTGTCCAGTCTCTTCTTAAAAACTTCAAGGGTTGGAGCATTTACTGCTTCTGGAGGCAAGCTGTTCCACTGATTAATTGTTCTCACTGTCAGGAAGTTTCTCCTTAGTTCTAGGTTGCTTCTCTCCTTGATTAGTTTCACATTCCTCAGCATACATAACCCTCCCTCCTTTTTTTTTTTTTCCTACCGCAATCTTTTTCAACTAGGGTGACTTGAAGATATCTGGACTTCACATCCCAGAATTCCCCAGCTGGCATGCTGGCTTTGGGGATCCTGGGAGTTGAAGTCCAGACATCTTCATGCTGACAACATTGAGAAACACTGTTGTAAAATACGTTCAGCGGAAAGGGAAGGACCAAAACTTGGGTTTCCCTATTCCAGCACAAGCACCTTCATCACTGAGGATGAGGAGGGACTGGCCCAAAGCCCCTCAGGGAACGCTGATGGCTCTCCCCACTTCTAATCTAGCACTTTCATCGTTTTTTCAGCTCCAGGTGTGGGAGAAAGGGACTGGCTGAAAATCCCCAGGAAACATCCATGGCTCAAGAGGAATTAGAAACTGTGTCTTTCCAATCTTAGTCCTTCACCACTTCCTCACGCTCAGAGTTGTGTGAAAGTGCCCGTTGTCATATGGGTAGCCCAGAACTTTCTCTTAAGGCAGTGATGGCAAACCTTTTAGAAACTGAGTGCCCAAAAACCACCCTGCCCCCCACCGGGACACCCACTGCCTCCATGTCCTGCCGCAGATTACCCAGGTGGCCCTGCAGCACCATGGTGACCACACCCTTCACCCATAGCCCGCAACATCATCTGCGTGCGACGGGGGTGAGGGTGGAGTCTTGTCCCTGTTGCCCGGCTGCCATGTCCTTGGCTGCGCTGCTCCGCACAGGCCACGCATGGGGGCGACCCTCCAGGGGGGGCTGCTGGTGAAGAGGGGGCTACAGAAGGAGGCGGGGCTGGGACAATGGCACACATGGCCACAGGACTATGCGTGCCACCTCTGGCATGCATGCCATAGGTTCATCACCACTGTCTTAAAGCCTCAGTTCTATGCCTTTGTTATGAGAACCAGATATGTGGCGTTCAGTTGATGATTAGCTATGGGTACTCCTCAACTTACAATAGTTCATTTAGTGACTATTCGAAGTTCCAATGGTACTGAAAAAAGTGATAGGATCATTTTTCACATTTACAACTGTTGCAGCATCTTCATGGTCACGTGATCAAAATTCAGATGCTTTGGCAACTGGTTCACATTTATGAGTTGCGATGTCTTGGGGTCATGTGATCAGTTTTTGCGACCTTCTGACAAGCAAAGTCAATGGGGAAGTCACATTCACTTAACAACCATGTTACTAACGTAACAACTGCAGTGATTCACTTAACACTGGAACATCATTCCCTCAGAGATTAGATTGGCCCCCACTCTAACACTCTTTCGGAAGGCGCTGAAGACTTGGTTCTGCCAATGGGCCTGGTGAACTCAAAATGGGATAGAGCCCATCAAATGGCTAGTTCAGGGGTAGACAACCTTGGCTCTTTTATGACTCGTGGACTTCAACTCCCAGAATTCCTGGCTCAGGAATTCTGGGAGTTGAAGGCCACGAGTCATAAAAGAGCCAAGTTTGCCTACCCCTGGGCTAGTTGAATGTGTGTTGTCACTGGGATGGGGGGGGGTTTATTACATTATTTTATTATGTTTCGTCTTGTTACTATTATTTTTTTATAGGGTGTTTTTCTATTTATGGAAGCTGCCTTGAGTTGCCTGTGAAAGTAGGTGGCAATACAGATTTTCTAAATAAATAAATAAATAACATAAAATGGGTCAAAATTCACTTCACATTTTGGCCTCCATTGTAGTCGTAAGTTGAGGACAACCTGTGTGAAGGACTGCACGTTTAAGCGGGCAGCCTAAACCAGTCTGTCGCTTGCCGATGCCCTTTGAAATCGTTTTTCTTTTCCACCATTGCAATCCTCTGACACTCAAGTGTAATCTTTTTTAATGTTACTGTCTTTTCATGTGGCTTCTCCATGTCCCCTGAGCAAGTGTTCTCGGCAGCTGTCAAGCACCCGTTTGACATGTTACTCATCCTTTTTTGGCAGACAAACAAGAGGTGAGTGGAACACTTCAGATGGAGGCAGGCACATTACGGCCGTCTACTGTGACAAAATGGTTGCCTGGCTCCTCAGAGCCATGGATTATTTTCAGAACGAAGCTATTTGACTCTACAAAATGTGTACTGTGTACATGTGTGGGAGGTGAGGAATGCCAGCCAGACGTGAACAGGGAGTGCACGCGGCATCTGTTCAATCCAATTTCCTTTGCTGTGCCGTAGATTACTTCCATCTCGTGACGTTTCTAGATCTAGAAAGGGGGCTCCCTTCTCCAGAAGGATTTCCTCAATCACTCTGGTACTTTAAAGATGCTTGGATTCCAGTGCAGCTGCAACACAGTATTATTTTAGGTTGTAGTCCTGCTCACTGCACCATCCTCACAGGCAGCTACGGGACCAAAGCCTCAATCCAGAGATCAGCGTTTCTCAACCTTAGCCACATTATGATGCGTGGACTTCAACTCCCAGAATTCCCTAGTCAGTATGCTGGCTGAGGACTTCTGGGAGTTGAAGTCCATGCATCATAATGTGGCTAAGATTAAAAAAACACTGGTCCAGATGCTTGCAATGTAGAAAGCAGCAATGAGAAACCTGATTAGGGTCATATCTGGTTTCCATTCCTCTTTTTTGTGTCACCTAGCCCCGTCAAGATTGGAAATCTAGTTTTTAAAAATAACAACAGATTCCCAGAATTTGGCTACCTCTGTTGTAAGACTCAACCTTTGGCAAGTCTAGCAACAGCATCAGCTCCCTTCTGCCCCCAGCTGCAGCTCTACCTAGCAACACAACACATTTTCACTCCCCATTACGTCTCTGAGTCTTTGTTAATCTGCAGGAAATTAGCACTATGGAAAATGAAAAAGGCTGCTGTCAACGCTGCAAATATTGTATATTCTTGCTTTTGACAATATGCAGAATTGTCTGGTAAATATGGGGTTAATAAAGAGCAGAAGGGGCGTTGGGGGTAAAGCCCAGGAAAGAAAGAGGAAGAAAACATTTGACCTTCACACTAATTGGATAGTGTGAGATATGACGGCTAATTTAGGGAGGGAACATGCTGATAATTTAATTGCTCAGAGGAAGAGAACTTAGATCCTAGCATCCCTCCATTGTGCCTGTGCCGACATTTTGTAACAATAAAAGACTTTTAGGAAAATAAATGCCTGGAAGTTCTTTGGAATGTTTCATTAGCCGGAACCACATCAGCTGCCCACTGCTGCCATCCTCAATTTGGGGCCTGCAAGGTAGGACAGGGTGCATCTTAACACAAGCAACAATTGTTGTGATTCCCTGCCAGCCTGTGCTCCCAACAGCTGAGTCTGAGGAATCTGAGAAGGAGGTGGAGGAGGCATTTGAAGGGCCATCAGGGGCAGAGGGAGACTCTGATGAATTACAGGACTCAGGGTTTGATGAGGAGCCTGGGCCCTCCAGTCATGTTCCTGATGAAGCTCAGCTGTGTGAGGAGAATGAGTCAGACTCAGAGGACTCACACCTGATGGACATGCTAATTGATGCACGCACACGTCGTCAATTAGCGAGAGTAAATCAGCAGCAGTCAATATGGCAACTCCAGAGTAAAAGGAGAAGGCACTGAGAGGCAACGCCTTGGGACTGCTATATAAAAAGAGGAGGTGTGGGCAGTGCTGGTTGCTGAAGGCAACCGTTTGCAAAGTGCTTCTCTGAATCCTGGTCTGTTCGTCTTGCTTGTGACTACTCTTCTATTTGCATTGTGTTTTCCTGTGGACTAGTTCCTTCATTTGGATTGAGTTTTGCTGTTTGTGTTTTGGACTATTTGGCAGGTTTGTCACCCATATTAAAAGGGGTTTGTTTTGTTTTAAAGTCTCCAGTCTATGTTATCAACAGGAGTTTGGTCCTTGTGCCGTTAACAAAGACGGCTATAGGCTGGGATAGAACAACAATGGGGGGGGGAAACCTTTTCAGAGGGAGATCCAACCTGGAAATAAGGACAATTCTAACCGGGAGAACAATTAATCAGTGGAACAGCTTGTCTCCTGGAGTTGTGGGTGCTCCATCACTGGAGGTTTTTAAGAAAAGATCGGACAACCATTTGTCCGGGATGGTATAAGGAATCATGCCTTGGGCAGGGGCTGCTGTTGTTAAGTGAGGTTTTTTTTGCCATGGTTGTAAAGTGAATTATTACAGTCGTTAAGTGAATCATAGGGTCATTTAACGAATCCAGCTTCCCCCATAGATTTAGCTTGTTGGAAGCTGGCTGGGAAGGTCTAAGTTAGTGCAACTCTCATAAATACAGGCTGGTTGCCAAGTACCCAAATTTTGATAACGTGATTGTGGGGATGTGTGACAGTCATCAGTGCAAGTACCGATCGTAAGTTAATTTTTTCAGTGCTGTTGTAATTTTGAACAATCATTAAAATGAATGGTTATATAAGTCAAGGACTACTCATAAGAGGTACATGGAAGAAACCATATCTCTGCCCATAAACAAGGTTAGAAATTATTTGGGGGACGAATGTTAGGTTCACCACATTCCATGCTCCTCAAATTAGCTGTAGAAATTGGACTGAACGTAGAATAAATGTGCAAGAGTCACAGGAACACTCCAATTCCTGTATCTATTTATAGCAGCGGTCCCCAACCTTTCCACCTTGGTGGCCACGGTGGGGAGAGGGAGTGTGAGTGTAGACAAACGTGCATGTGCACAGTTCCATTGGTGCAAGCGGCGGCGCAGGTGCCCTTCATTCATATGAATGAGCTTCGTGCACAAGTACAAGCACTCTTCGCTCAAACGCTCTCCACTTGTGCGAGTGGAGCTTCGCGCATGAGCACAAGTGCCCACCACTCTCATGAGTGGAGCTTTGCATGCATGCTTGCCCTGTGCTCGTGTAGTCCAGTTTGAAACATGCTGTGACCTGGTAGTGGGCCGCAGCCTGGTGGTTGGGGGCCTCTGATTTATAGATGGAAAAATTCTGGCTCTTCAATTTGGACCTTAGCTCCGATACTTGTCCAACAAAACCAGCTATCAAAAAAAAAAAGAGATAGCTTCCAGAATCCCTACTACATTCAACTGGTGTCCTAGACAATGCACTTCCTGAAAAACAAACAGCTTTGAATGTCTAGCCTGACGAATAAATACAGTTGTTGTACTCAGAAAACCTTCTCCTGTACCTCACCTGCTGGATTGAGGCATACACCACTCACCTGCACAGCCTTGATGATAGCAATGATGCCAGTGGGCCAGAAACAGCAGATGGTGGTGAGGACAGCGATGGGAAGATAATCGTGTGGTGGGCGCCGGGGTTCCAAAATGGCAATGCCAGGCGTCATCTGTGTTGGGGAGAGAGCTGGTGGTGGAGGTTGGTTGGCCTGAGGGTAGGACTGGAAAAAAGAATCGAAAACCTAAAGAAACCATTCGTTCATTTGTTCATTCATTCATTCATTTAATTTAACATCAAGGAAAACAATTTTCAGCAAGTAGAAGAATACTTTATGGAATGTACCACTTGAAGCTGCAGGTGGAGTGTTGCAATCTTGAATATTTCCCCATCCCCCCCCCCAAAAAATAGTTCAGTGGTACATTCTGCAGGTAAAAGATTGCAGGTTCCAATTCTGATATCTCTAAGGTAGGGAAAGATATTAGAAATGGAATTCTCCGATCAGCCTGGGCAACAGTTGGAGAGTCTAGGAGTTGTAGTCCCAACACATTGGAAGAGCACAAGTTTGGGGAAAGTGGGGAAAGCAACTAAGATTAGATTATTATTTAAAAATAGTTTGCTGAATAGACCACAGTTGGCTGACCACAACTGGAGTGGATGCTCCAACACTGGAGGTTTTTAAGAAGAGATTGGACAACCATTTGTCTCAAATGGTGTAAGTTTTCCTGCTTTCCTCCGCTAAGCAAATCTTGTTCACATGACTGTGGGAAATGCTGCAATGGTCGTAAGTGCAAAGACCAGTCATACGTCAATGCCATTGTAATTCTGAACAGTACCTAAACAAATGGTTGTAAGTCAAGGATTACCTGTACTAATGTTTTTAATCTCTGTTCCCACAATCACTTGTACAAATTGGGTGGCCATTTGAATCGAATCAAATCAAATTAAATTGAATTTGAGGTTTTAAATATGGAGGCACTCAAAAAAAGAAATCCCAATTGAATGTCCTAATGATCAGAACCATGTTACAAATGTTTAACACTGCAGTAAATAAGTCAAATGGGAATAATTAATGGATATGAGAAGTAAGCAAGGAAAAATTGCAAAATTCTCTGTCTGCAGCTTCCGATCGTAGCAAGGATAGCGAAAAAGAACTCAAATGGTGCTTTGCTGCTAACGGCGAGAAACTCCATCGCCTTCTAAAATTCTGGTCAATGAAAGGCAAGCAATGAGTGGCATTTTAAATATTAGTAGTAAAAAATCATCCATCCACTTTTCAGTGCAATCCAGCTGCCTGCATTTATTCTCTGGGCTCCTCCTCCCCCACCCCACCCCCATTTCTGACTGTGGGCCTGATAAAAGAAGACAAATTAGCTGTTCTTTTAAGGAAGCTTGTTTGCTCTGCATGCAAAAAACGACAAAAACACCACCTACAAAGAGCACATAATTAATACGTGTCAGGAGTGATACAAAGGCCTAGCCGCATAAACAAGATTAACATGGTTTTCAGTTCTAAGGGTACATGAATTCTCAGATGAGAAGCTGAACTGGGTGCTCCCAAACAAACCCCAGCCTACAGGCCTGCTTATATCCATACATTGTTTTTAGCTGCAGTTTTTTAAAAAAAAAAATAGAAATAGGTGGATTCACATAGTCCACTCAGGCTGTTTTGACTTAACAGGATGTCTGCATCCAACTGCAGGGGTTTCTAAAGGAAACAGTAGCTTATGGTTTGGTGTTATGCATCAAACAAGTCCCTTTTAATTATAGCAGGGGTGTCAAACTTAATTTCATTGAGGGCCGCATCAGCATTGTGGTTGCCCTGGGAGGGGTGCGGCCTACTGGGTGGGCATGGATGGAGTGGGTGTAACCTACTGGGTGGGCGTGGCCAGCTCTACATCATTTGCATCAAGGGTGCCTGTGGGGGCCTGGGCAGGAGTGGGACAGATCTGAGGTCTCACAAAGGGTGACACCTCCCCAACATGCACCCAGGGGATGGGGCCGACGCGGCAGGGGCTGGTTCCTCGCTGGTTCCAGACAACCTTGTGGAGTTAAGACTGAATGCGTTTCAGCATACATGGCCACCACAAAATTGAACATTGTCTCCTGCCTGGCCTGGGCCAGGGCCAAGGCAGCGGGGGCCGTTCCCTCACTGTTTCCAGGATGGCTTCACGGGCCACATGAAACCACTTCGTGGGCCGCATCCAGCCCCCGGGCCTTGTGTTTGACGTGTCTGAATTATAGCAAAAGGAACACAATTGAAAGAAATAATGGTTTTGCATAAAGGACAAATTATAGTTTCTTTAAACTAACGTTAGTAAGAGGGTAAGGTTATTTCTCTAAAACATAATGGCTATATTTTAGAGGAAGCTTGTCCTTTACTAATCAAACTGCTGGGAAATATAAAAACAAAAAAAATCATATTGCCTTGGGTTGTTATATGCTCAAAGATTGGAAGAGGAATATTATGAAAGCTAATCAAGGAGACAATCCACCTAGAACTAAGGAGAAACTTCCTGACAGTGAGAAGAATTAACCAGTGGAACAGCTTTGCCTTCAGAAGTTGTGGATGCTCCATCCCTGGAGGTTTTTAAGAAGAGACTGGACAGCCACTTGTCTCAAATTGTATAGGGTCTCCTGCTTGAGCAAAGGGTTGGACTAGATGACCTCCAAGGCCCCTTCCAACTCTGTTATTCTGTAATTACGGTGGAAGAATGGATTTTGAAACTAACGAAGCAAGCCAAGATAGCAAGCCAAAATTGACCACTTTGCTTAGAGACAATAATTGGACTAAATTTCTTGCAACTTGAGGACCACGGTTTAATTTCTTAGAAGATAAAGAGAAAAAATCAACTTTGGAATTTGAAGATTAGTTTGGATTGGATTAGAGAACTATCACTGCTTTTTAAACATAAGGTTATTCAGATTTAACAATTTAATAATTGTTAGATTAAAGACAAGAATATTTTGTGAATACTGAATGCTGATTACTATTTAAATTTAGAGAAAGGTTGCTGTATGGTTATTTTCGTTGGAGTAAAAGAAAGTCGTAGTCTATCTTTATTATAAATATGTTTGTTATACTGTTTTTTTCCCTGTCACTTTTAATCTGTATCATTATTCCTTTTCCCTGTCTTTTCTAATAAAGGGCATATTACAGTCATACCTCTAGAAATCATGGTTCTCGTTACATCTGCACTAACTCATATCTGCAGGGTAAAGAGGCAGTCCTTGACTTGCAACCGTTCATTCAGTGGCTTTTCAAAGTTGCAAAGGCATTGGAAAAGGTCACTTACAGGCGGTCCTCACATTTACAACCATTGCAGCATCCACAGAGTCACCTAATCAAAATTCAGCTCCTTGGCAACTGGCACATCCAGGTAGTCCTCATCTTACAACAGTTCATTTAGTGACCATTCAAAGTTACAACGGCACTGAAAAAAGTGACTTAAGACTGTTTTTCACACTTATGACCATTGCAGCATCCCCATGGTCGTGTGATCGAAATTCACACACTTGGCAATTGACTCATATTTATGACGGTTTTGCAGTGTCCTGGGGAGGGTCATGTGATCCCCTTTTGCAACCTGCTGTCAATGGGGAAGCCAGGTTCGCTTAACAACCACATTACTAAGTTAAGAACTGCAGTGATTCACTTAACAACTGTGGCAAGAAAGGTCGTAAAATGGGGCAAAATTCACCAGTGTCTTGCTTAGCAACAGAAATGTGGGGCTCCATTGTGGTCGTAAGTCAAGGACTACCTGTATTTATGACAACTGCAATGTCCCTGGATCACGTGATTGCCATGTGTGACCTTCTCAACTGGCTCCTGACAGGCAAAGTCAATGGGGGAAGCCAGTTTCACTTAATGACATGATTCAATTAACAACTGCAGTGATTTGCCTAACCACTATAAACAGAAATTCTGATCCCAGCCGTGGTCTTAAGACAAGGACTACGAGTGAGAAAGTCCCAAACTAATACAGGTAGTCCTCGACCTACGACCACAACCGAACCCAAAATTTTGGTTGCTAAGTGAGACAGTGGTGTTTTGTCCCATTTTACGATCTTTCTTTACATAGTTGTTAAGTGAATCATGGCAGTTGTTAAGTTAGTTCCACAGTCGTGAAGTGACTCTGGCTTGACTTTGCTTGTCAGAGGTTGCAAGAAGGGATCACATGACCCCCTCTGGGGACACTTTAACCGTCATAAATATGAGTCAGTGGCCAAGCGTCTAAATTTTGACCACAAGACCCTGGAAATGCTGCAACGGTCTTAAGTGTGAAAAACGGTCATAAGTCACTTTTTTCCATGCGTCTTGTAACTTCGAATGGTTACTAAATGAGGCTAAATGAGGCTATAACATAAGGAACGGCTGCTGGAATTGGGCATGTCTAGTTTAATTAAGAGAGAAGGATGAGGGGGGACATGATAGCAGTGTTCCAGTATCTCAGGGGCTGCCACAAAGAAGAAGGAGTCAAGCTATTCTCCAAAGTGCCTGAAGGTAGGACAAGAAGCAACGGATGGAAACTAATCAAGGAGAGAAGCAACCTAGAACTAAGGAGAAACTTCCTGACAGTTAGAACAATTAATCAGTGGAACAACCTGCCTCCAGAATTGGTGAATGCTCCAACACTGGAAGTTTTTAAGAAGAGACTGCACAGCCATATGTCTAAAATGGTATAGGGCAGTGATGGCAAACCTTTTAGAGACCGAGTGCCCAAACTGCAACCCAAAACCCACTTACGTGTTGTCGGGTGCCGGGTGGGTGTGGCCCATTGGCTCAGTGTGGCTCATTGAGTGGGTGTGGCCCATTGGGTGGGCGTGGCTGCAGTGGTAATGGCAGACTGGGTGGGACTAAAAAGTTCAATCTATCAATCAATTCCAACTTTGCAAGATCTTTTTTTTTCCCGCGAGAAGTTGAAATTGACTGATTGATTGAACCTTTTTTTTTTTTTTTTGCACATGGCAGCAGAGGTCTAAAGCGAAAAGGTTTTATAAAACCCAGCTGAAGGCCTAGGACTGGGGTGACGGCACGCGTGCCCACAGAGAGGGCTCTGAGTGCCACCTCTGGCACCGTGCCATAGGTTCGCCACCACTGGTATAGGGTTTCCTGCCTGAGCAGGGGGTTGGACTAGATGACCTCCAAGGTCCCTTCCAACTTTATTATTATTATTATTATTACTACTACTACTACTACTACTACTACCACTATTGTAAGTGGAGGACTACCTGTAAGAAAGTCCCAAACTAACACAACCCCAAGAAGTTCTCTGGTTATCCAACTGAGCATAAATACTCACCGTCCCTACAGGGTAGACCGGCACATATGCCGTACAAGGCTGTAGCTGGACTGGGTACCCCGGGTGCATGTAGCCTCCAATGGGGAGGGTCCCGACAGGCGGATGCGTCTGCACGACATAGCCCTGGGCGGCTCCGTTGAACTGAGTTTCCTGCATGTAGGGGTCAGGGGGGAGGCGGGGGAGGGTGGCGGAATGGTGGCGGGGCGGGCGCGGGAGGGTGGCTGATGTGGGGGGAGGCCGGGGGAGAGTAGCAGCCCCTCCAAGCCGGGGCAAAGTGGCTGTTCCCGAATGCACGACCGTCGCAGAGGAATCACTGTATCCCGGGATGGGGGCATCCTGGGGAGGGGGAGGGGGAGGTTGCAAAGGGTTGTTGTAGGGTGGCGGAGAGGTGTGTGGGGCAGAATCAGGAAGTCCTGAAAGGGGAGGAAAAAAAGAGAAAGGAGTCAAGATAAAAGAAAACACCAGAAGTTACATGTCAGCGACGAAATGTTCTCAGCGAAGGAAAAGCCAGGGAGAACTTGGTCAAAAGCCATGTGGTTATATTGTTCCTGTTCTGTCGACACTCGGTTTCCCTGCAGGATCTATTCTGCATCCAAAACACAAATGTACCCATTCAAATAGATATTTTAAAACCCAACTCCTGAATTCTCCCAAACATTAGCAGCAGACTCTACAGGCAGCTTGCAATCTGCTGCGCCATTCCAGCGTTCAAAATGCAGATAAAAACAGCAACCGAGACAGATTCTGTGCTAAGGTTAGCTCAGCCCACATCTTCTCTCTCAGTTTAAGCGTCGGACGCGCCCCCACCCAAACCTCAAAGTCTGTTACAGAAATGCAACGTGACACCACCGTCCCATGTTGCTTTCCAACTGACCAATGGTCCAGAAACAGAGAGACCTAATTCTGTCACACTGACAACTGCAGAGAAATGGATGTTCAATCTTTCTGGTTGTCTCATAAGGGTGGAACTCCCATTAGAAAAAGGTTTGCCTGCATAAATCAGAACGTGGCATTCACGCCAATTTCTCCTATGGGCTTTGATATTAGCCCTTCAAGATAGACCAGGTCAGGAAACAGGGATGATCAAAAATACAGGGAGTCCTCAACTTACAATTGAGCCCCACATTTCTGTTGCTAAGCAAGACAGTTGTTAAGTGAATTTTGCTCCCTTTCGCAACTTTTCTTGCCATGGTTGCTAAGTGAACAACTTACAATTACTAGGTTAGTAACACAGTTGCTAAATTAATCTGGCTTTCTATAAGGACCTGCCTCAACTAGATCTCCCAAGGAAGCAGAACTCTTGAAACAGGCATTGTTTCAAAAGGAACTTTTATTGAGAGTTAGTGATAGCAGGAAGGCAAAGCAAAGTCTGAAGATTTCGCACATGAAAGGTTACATCATAATGCCCATTCAGTTCTCCTCCCCCCCAATGTCCAACTGTCCGTTTGAAATCCAGCCAATCCATAGGTGCTAGGTTGTTTTGAGAACCTAGTGATTTAGCACCCTTCTCAAGCTCCCTCTCAGTTTTGTTTCTCAATGGTCCCAGGCTCCATTGTCTGGAGATAAGGTAGAAATTTTTAGGCCACATTCCTTTCACATGGAGGGAGGGCAAAGCAGAGCAAGGCAATTACATTTCCCAACGAAGAAGCCCCCCTCCCTCCCCAAAAATGAATACATAAGCAGAAGCAGTAAGCAATACGCAAATCCATTTGAGGGGTCCTGATACTTCCCCAGTGATTTTGTTTGTCAGAAGGTTGCAAAAGGTGATCACATGACTTTGGGACACAGCAACCATCATAAATTCATGCCGGTTCCAACGTCTGGATTTTGATCACGTGACCACGGAGGTGCTGCAACAGTTGTAAATGTGAAAAATGTGCTAAGTCACTTTTTCCAGTACCGTTGTAACTTTGAACAGTCCCTAAATGGATGGTTGTAAATCAAGGACTACCTGTATAGAACCGATGTAGGCTGTGATTTTAAAAGCCTGGCAGATCCTTTCCCTCACCATTTATAGAAATGAGAAATTCATAGAAATTTATTAAAGAGAATCAAGATCTGGCAATCTTGAGTTTCTTTCTTACTCTTTCCTCTTTTCCCAAGCTAAGTTTGTGTTTTACTGCTGCATTTTTTCTCTCCAAAGTTGTTTCAGTGCTCCTTTGCATTGGCACATCATATCTGTTTTGCCTCTCCCTGCAGCCTCAAAGCTTGCCCAAATCATTCATATTGTCAAACTAATTTTTAGGCTACAAAATCTTCTTTTCCTTTCTGGACCTATCTCCTCTGGAATCACCTGTTTCTGGTGGTGGTAGCAAAGAAGTCCGATAAACAAAAAATGATTAAAAAAACATAAGCTTTTTAATGGCTGCTGCTCTTTCCATTTGATAAAATTTGTTTGTTGGAAAAGGTGTTACCAGGCTTCTGTTTTTTTATTTTTTTTTTTTATTTTTTTGCCTCTAAAAAGTGACATGGCCCTTTTCCTGCAATCTGTACGAAGTTTCTTAAATTGGGATCCACAAATCCCTTGAGGGTCCTAGATAGATTTTCAGAGAGATCCATGATCTTGGATGAGGAAAAAGTTACAACTTTATTTTCACTTAAACCTATAGCTTTTCATTCAATAAAGAAAGTAGGCAACACTGTAATTTATGGCTTCCGAACTTCAAAAATGTGGCTAATTCTAATAAATCTCACTATTTTAGATTATTATGCCCTGAAAAAGCAAAAAGCAGTATATTCCCAGATTGTGGGAAGTTCCTTTTTCTCTGAAAAAGTGTAGCTGACAGCAGCCCACACAGTTTGACTTTCAAAGATGCTTTGGTCCCTAAAATTCTATGCAAGCCGTTCATATGAGCATAAGTGCATTTGAGCTCATTTTCTGCGTGATGCAATCTTATAACCATATAATTCTTTTTATGCATTTAAAATCTTTCCAAAAAGTGATCTATAGGTTTCACCAGGCACTCAAAGAGGTCCATGTCACAGAGATTAAGAATCTGTGCTTTACAGCAGAGGTCCTCAACCTTTTGGGCACCAGGGACTGGTTCCTTGGAGAAAGGTTTTTCCACAGACCAGAGAGTGACTGGTTTTGTGTGCTGCCTGCATCCCACGGGTAAGGCTTGCTTGTTTGTACGGACTGGTTGCTGGCATGCCACAGCCCGGTACCAGTCCACAGACCGGGGGTTGGGAACCCCTGCTTTACAGGACCTGAAGTTAAGGAGCCATTTTTCCATGGCTCATAACAATCCCCAACCTTAGCTTTGTATATCAGCTGAACTGGAAATTAATCAACTCAGCTAACACTAACATTATAACAACCTCAAAATTCAGAGCTGTTTTCAAACAGGTACAAAATTCTTGCATGAAAATACAATATACAGTATATATATACATACACATATATACATATACATATACATACACATATACATATACATACATACACATATACATACATACATACATACATACATATATAGGTCTTTGGTTATTCGGGTTTTCTCCCACATAAAATTGGAAGTGTCTTGGTGATGTTTCGACGAAGTCTCATTCGTCATCTTCAGGCTGGTGTTTTCAGCTTTGTGCTCCTCGAAGCACGAAGCTGAAAACACCAGCCTGAAGATGACGAATGGGACTTCGTCGAAACGTCACCAAGACACTTCCAATTTTACGCGGGAGAAAACCCGAATAACCAAAGACCTACATACAAACATCTGCGAAAACCTCAGAAAACATATATATACAGGAAGTTTTTCAGACAGACCAGTCTGATTGATTATACCTTGACATTTTTTAAACTGCTATACTGCAGTTATACTTTTTTTTTACAACCTCTTTTGCCTTGCAGCCCCCCAACTAGCGGCGTTAAGCAGGCTCAAGTCGCAACTGCGAAACATTTACAAATCCAAATTTCTTTTTCTGACAAAGAGTTCAAGAATTAAATTGGGAGATTAACTGAAGTGTGTGGCTAACTGAAGAGAGTAGAATGAGCTCGAAATGGCCATCTTAGTCTCCCAATTTAATTTTTTAACTCTTTGTCAGAAAAAGAAATTTGTATATATATATATTTATATGTATGTATGTTTTCTGAGGTTTTCACGGGTGTTTGTATGTAGGTCTTTGGTTATTCGGGTTTTCTCCTACGTAAAATTGGAAGTGTCTTGGCAACGTTTCGACGAAGTCCCATTCGTCATCTTCAGGCTGGTGCTTTCAGCTTCGTGCTTCTAGGAGCAATGTGTGATCGTAGCTGTTTCTTCCTTTTAACTGCCAGTGGGGGTATGAACTGATTGGGTGGGAGCTTGGCTGTGTTCTGACTGGGTGGAGGTGTGTTCTGATTGGTTAGGGGCTTGGCTGTGTTCTGATTGGATCATTTTTCTATCGAGATAGAAAAATGCCCACACAGCATGAAGAAATGAGATGATACCTCCCACCTACCAGCCATTTGGAAACCCGCCCTTATTGACAAACAAGTCCCTAACACAAAGAATGATACCAGACCCACACTCACGAAAACCACACAGGATGTCACCACCACACATCCACACAAAAAGCAAAGCCAAACCACAAACCAGAAGCCAGACCACAGCTGCATCATTAGCCACTTTAAACCCCTCCAATCCATACATGAAGCAAACTGACACCCACCATGAAGATGAGGCATGACCACGAACACGAAACCAAACAACAGCAACGCAGCTCACCATCTCAAATCCCCCAGGTTCGAATCTCAGAAGGGTATGTCTGGTTGAAAAGAACTAAAAAGTTTGAAATAGCTATTCCAGTTCTCCCTTAATTCTTTGCTAGCAATCCAAATTTTAGAAATATATATGATGTCGCAGTTGCAACTGCTGCCTGTGGATGGCTCTAGTTTGAGCTGATACAAGGCAAAAGATTTCTCTCTCCCATATTTGGGTCAACAGGGTGTAGCATACAGCACTCTAGATAATTCTCCTCCCCTGTTTCTTCCCTCCCTAACACAGCTGGCAAAAGTGAGAAAGAGCCTGTGGCCTAGAGGTTAACACAGCTGCCTAACATGCAGACGGCCCAGGTTCGAACCTCAGAAGGGTATGTCTGGTTGAAAAGAACTAAAAAGTTTGAAATAGCTATTCCAGTTCTCCCTTAATTCTTTGCTAGCAATCCATACACACACACACACACACACACACACACACACACACACACACACTTATTTATTTCAGCAAAATTTTTGTTATCCAAAGAGAGAAGAAAATTGCATTCACATAACGTGTGTATCCATAGTTAAGTTAAATGCAATTGATTAAATTAACCCAATGACCTTGGTTTATAAAACTTATATGTAAATTGGATTCAAGTAACATGCTAGACTGGAGTTTTTCAAGCTTGGTAGCTTTAAGACGGGTAGACTTCAAATCCCAGAATTCCCCAGCCAGTA